AAAAAATACATCCGATAAAAATGAATTCAAATAAAAACGAACATGGTGTTGGTTGAAAATGCGATAGCATATTAAGATGAGCTAACGATCGATCAGTACCACTCGTGAAACTAACATATCCATACTTCAGTAATTCACCAATCGAATAAAGCTCATTATAGCGATTTATCATTGCAGGCATGATGTATACTGAAAATTATTGTATTTACTAAACAAGGTGCCCAGAAAGTATGTTTACTTACGCCACCCTCGTGTACCAGATATAATTGTTTGCCGTGTGCGCCGCTCGACAAATATGGGGATTTGGAATCCAAGACTGAGAAACGGACCATCCAGAGCTTTAAAAATACATTGTTATACAGGACGTTAGAAAAACGGTTGTAATACATACGGAAGTTTTGACGGTCGTAGCGAGCGATGGGGAAACGCAGCTTTTTAGATTGTAATCGGACACCAACGGGAGATAGTTTATGAATATACATGTATATGTGACCGAGATCTTTTGATACCCTGCTTGTTTTCTGAATAGCAACGAGACGATGACTGAATTCGTAGGTCAATGTCAATGAGATGCTTACATAGATGGATCCTGACCGTAATTGAGGAAGCCAATCATTGCCATCAGTCCATATTTCTAGCAAATATGAAAACTATACATATATAATTGAAACTCGATTATGTCATTGCAGACAACCTACTCAACGATATACCTTCAATCAAATAAGTGTGCATGTGAATGCGACATGTTTACTCCTGTTCCTACGACCATCGGATTTATCGAGAAGAAAAAATCAAAACAAAATCATCACCACGAAGGAAACTAATCTCATGCATAGATCGTTTCATATATTCTTCAAAAATCTTCTACAATTGACTAACTTTCGTTACTATTGTTTCCATCTTTTTCATGTTGCGTGTAATGTACAGTAGACACGGTCACGATACTACCGATAATCACTAGTACCATCAGAATGGTATAGAACGTTTTACGTTTAGTCCAAATGCTTGCACGAGACCTTTGTGGCCTACAAATAACAATGTTCTAAATGACTCGCGACTATGTAGAACACTTACATCAATGACAATTGCTGTTTGAGCATTGTGTCTTCGGAGAAGTCTTCGTGTTGCTCATTATCGACTATGATATATTCTGGTTTTAGTTGAGTTCCTTCTGGTGCTTTAACCATAATTGCACTGCTTAATTTATGTTTCTATATTATATGTACGATTAACGTTTTTTCAGGTCATTTTCTTTCCTGCATAAAACTCTTACCTAATCAGTTGTTCGTTGTCGTAAAAGTTTAAAAGTGCATAAGTCATGTGTCACTCATTGAAAAGCAGCCGTTTATATAGAGCGAAAATGTCAGGATAATATATTGTGATAAAGAACAGTAATTTATTTGTTTCGATAAAAAAACTGTGTCAATGTAGTAATAGAATTTGATGATATTAACAAAAATGAACTGATAAGAAAATAACAGCCCGTGTTTTACAGTTTACGCGAATAGGGAAGATGTAGAATATGGATCTGGTCAGATCAAGAAGAAAAAATACGATAGTGGCATAAATGAGTAAAGTGCCACGGACAATATGCACTGAAATTTCTTTTGATTTATGATTATGGAAGAGCTGATAACGTTCTCAGGGTAAATGATTCAACCATTTTCACTTGAATATCGGTTATAGTTGATTCGAGAAAAACAAAATCTTCGAATAATATCCATCTCTGTTGTTGATATTCTAAATTGGTTTTTGTGTCCTTCCGTAAATGCACTTTTCTCGTGTGACCTTTTTCGATAAAAATAATTTATTACTCATACAAGTCACTTAATATCTATTCTGTCATTCAATTCGATTCCAGGTTCCAAATAAAACATTTTTACATTGAACGATAAGTGGCATTGCTTTCCTATTGGTTCATTTTATTCCAATGATACTCATACCTAATTGCTCTTTGTATGTTTATACAAGAGTATGAAAGAATTGTCTTTCGCTCTTATCTTTTTTTTCTCATGAAGTTAGAGCGGTCAGCAGGTATTTTATTACATATAACATCATTGCCTTCGAAATATGGTATCGGAGATTTTGGAAGCGATGCATTTCGATTTGTTGACTTTTTAGCAGAAACCAAACAAAAATTGTGGCAAATTTTACCGTTAACCACGATCAATTGTCCGTCGCCATATTCAAGTAGGATGTCTTTTGAAAAAAAGGAGCTTTTTTCTGTGATCGCACTGTGTTTTATAGGTGAATCATCATGCGGTGGAAATCCGTGGTTGATTTCGCCCGAAAAATTGACTGATATGAATGTTTTATCGTCGGAAGACCTAGAGTTGCTGACTAATGGAACGAAATTTCATGGCGATTACGTTAGTTTTAAAGATGTAAATGAGTTCAAAGAGAAATTGTTAAAGAAGTCGTTCGAAAACTTTCAAAATTCGAAGAATCACAAGGAAATTCTCGATAAATTCTATGCAGATCAATCATTCTGGATTGACGACTTTGTTTTATTTATGATCATCAAATCACAGGTAAATTCGAGATTTTTCTTTCTTCGATAAATATCTTGACTTTGATTCAGCACAAAGGACTACCATGGAATGAATGGCCGTCGGCATTACGTCATCATGATCCAGCAGCACTGGACGAACTTCGTCGAACTAATCGAAATGAATATGAATACCATTTATTTGTTCAGTACATTTTCGATCAACAATGGAAACAATTGAAAAAATACGCAAATGAGAAAAATATACAGATAATCGGTGACATGGCGATGTATGTGGATTATAATTCAGTTGATGTTTGGGCGAATTCGAAGTTATTTAAACTCGATTCGAATACGATGAGACCAACTGTTGTTTCAGGTAAATGATTGTCAAAAGCAGATGTGCATGTATCTACATCGATTGTCTATGATATAGGCTTTCCGGCTGATGAAAACTATGATATTCAAATATGGAATCAACCGGTTTATCAATGGAATGATGCAAACATTCGACAAGATTTGTTTCAATGGTGGATCAGACGCATTGAAAAATCTCTGTCAATGTATGACATCGTGCGCCTCGATCATTTCCGAGGTTTTGTCCAACATTATGTTATCCCAATAGATGCTCAAACATCCAAGCCGAACACATCCGATGCGCATTGGGTAAACACACCGTACGTACTGTTAAAAATCAGATTTTCAAACGGAAAAATTCCAGTGGTTACGAATTATTTTCAGCAGTGAAGAGCTCACTCGGTGAAGATATCTCCTTAGTTGTCGAAGACATCGGTAGTGTAACCAGTGAGGTGTTTCAATTACGTGATGCGATGAAATTCTACGGAATAAGAATTCTGCAAATGGGGTTTTACTGTTATCCTGATAACATTTATTCTCCGCACAATTATCTCCCAAATTCAATCGCATATACAGGTACACATGACAATGCAACGTCATTAGAATGGTGGACGAGTGTCGCAAGACGCGAAGAAAAAGATCTGTTTAAAAAATACGTCCATCGTCCATGTTCATCGGAAGTCGATTTCGAGAAACATATTCCTTGGTATTTCATCCAAATGATCTTACAATCCGCATCGAATGGAGCAATTGTATTAATGCAAGATTTACTGAGTGTCAATGTGCGAATGAACTATCCCGGAAAAGGTAAACAGGATGAGGTAGAGATAAAAGTATTTCGAATCGATGTTTCAGACTCATCGATGGAGGAAAACGGACCGCAGAATTGGTCATGGCGTTTCAAATGGTCACAACTGACATCGAATATTCGAGAGGAGTTGAAGGAGTTGACTGAAATGTATGGACGAAATCTTCTGTATGGAAAAGCAATTCCCCCGAAGGATATGATTATGCAAGGCGACTCTTCTTTCTTTTTGAAGTAAATATTCAACAAATTTTATTTTAACAAACCTTGAATTTTCGAATAAAGCCTCTCATCCCAAAGTTCATAACCTTCTTCAGTCAAATGTACGTTGTCTACTAAATGATACAGTCTGACCTCTTCAGGTGGCTCCAGCCATTGAATACGATCGTTGTCTTGCGATCTGATCGTATCAACAAGCTGTTTTATCGCTTGATTTGATTGAGAAACATATTTTTCTTCTACGTCTTTGCGTGTGAACAGACCAGTAACAAGAATCTTTGTTTGAACAGGCAACAAAGCGAATAAAGTTTGTAACAATAGGTCATAATTATTGATTTGTAAACCGTGCAGTGGTTTTCGGGGTTGAAGATTATTCGTACCGATATGAACGACAACGAGTTTAGGATTTTTCTCTTTTAACATAGTTAATAATCCTAATTTGATACGATAGAGCACATTCTCAATTTTGTCTCCACCGACACCTGCATTGAACAAACGTGGGTAAGGCAACAGACCGAGTTGGGTGAATCTTCCGGTATTTTTAAATCTTTCGAACATCGAATCACCAAGAAGAACAATATCAACTTGCTCCGAAAGCTCACCTGCTGCTGTTAACTGTGGCTGATGACTTCTCATGTGCGTATCATGAGATCGTTGTTTAAAACAAGCTCGTTCATTGATCAAATCGTCAATTTGTGACGCGGGGAGGGACTCATGTTGAATTGATGATAAAGCCATGTCTACTCTTGATTGTGCACTTCTTTCTATTGAAGTAAAAACGAAGGAGAGAAAAGGCAATGATCGAGCAATAACACGAACGACAATGACGTCATGAAAAAGAACAAGGGACAGTCTAATGTGAAGCCTAATTTCTCTCGATTGAGTAATATCGTGTCTTGTCGTTCTGTTCTTGATACTGTTCGTATAATTGACGAGAACAAGCAGCATGTCTACGTTTATTGGTGCAATCTTACCCTTTGCTTGTTTGAAAAATCAGTAAAATTTGACTTCCACGTCAATCTGTTTGAAAGAAATTTTCGTTCTCATCATTTCTATTTGGCGTGTGTCGCGCAGAGTACATCGCTTCGGTATGATAACAGTTGGTGTTTTACGTTTCTAATCTTTCATTTTGAATAGACATTTCATATCTAGACATCAAAACGTCACAATTGCTTGTGCAAAATCGTCGTAGAAATAAAGAACGAGTGAAGACAATCAACGATGCATTTCTTTGTCAATGTTTTCCTAGTCTATTCGAAACAACATCTACCATCGTCCGATAAAAACTTTTTCTTCTGTTTTTTGTAGTCGACTTGGTATGCGACATATTTTTGTAGGCTTTTTACACAAAGTATTGCGGCGTAAAATAAATTTCTTCTTTTTCTTTGTTCTCATAGACGCACGAGTTGTTTGAGAGATTTTGTTTTCAGTAGTCAATTTTACTGCGTACTATACGGTTTCCTCAGAATAAGAATCGCAATGTCCCTAAAAACTGTCATCAAAGAAATCTTCAACGCTAATACGAATTTTCAAAATGCTCAACAAGCGATGAACTTCGCACATTCTTTGGATGCTTTGTCGGGAGATTTGTATACTGATCCGATGCGGTTTCTTTTCGAATTGATTCAGAATAGTGATGATGCGTACAAAGATCATCCGACGAAGAATCCGTTACTACGTTTGACTGTGATCGACGAAGGTTATTTAATCGTGGCCAATTATGGTAAAGGCTTCGATAAGAATGACGCTCGAGGTGTGTGCGGTGTTGGATGTGGAACAAAACGGAAAGATCGAGACAAAACAGGTTATAAGGGTCTAGGATTCAAAGCCGTTTTCGGTCAATCAGAATATGTTTTAATTGCCTCCAAAGGTGAATATTTTCGTTTTGAAGCGGGTGCGAAGGAATTTCAATGGAACATCAAATGGGGAAAAGATCGTGCAAGTTGGGAAGTGAGTAGTGGGCAAAAGTTCAAGTTTCCCTGGCAGATATGTCCGATATGGACGGAGAAAACTGAATTACCCGTGCCGATTCAACAGTGGTTATTTTCTCAACCGGAGGCAGTCGCGTGCATTATCCGCGTGGCTAATATATCGGAGATCAAAAAATCATTAAGAACGTTAATCGATCAGGCACACGTGTTTATGTTTCTTCGACGCGTTCGAAATATTCGAATATCGATGGATTCATCCAATGAAACTGTACTCCAGATCAGCCAATTGAAAGATAAATCGATCAAGATTTGGAATGCAGATGGAAATCTCAGCTCACATTGGTTGTTACATTCGTGTCTGTTACCTGTTCCCAAAGAAGCGCTGAAAGACAGTCGTCTGCCGGAAAAACTAGCAGGAATCGAAGAAATCGATTTGACTTTGGCGATAAAGATTAATCAGAATGACTGTTTTGTACCTGTGAGAGGTAGTGACAGTATTCTGTTTGCCTACCTTCCCACAAAAATTTCCATGTACAATCTACCAGTTCTAGTCAATGCTCAATTTGATATTAACGCCAGTCGAGAACACATACGAATAGATTCGTCCTGGAATCAGTGGCTATTCTCATGCATTCCTGAACAAATGTTCAAATGGGTCCAAACTCTAACGAAGGACCAGAAATGGACGGATAAAGCGTACGACTTATTACCCAATCGCTTATCAGTGAAAGACCAACTTGCTGAACAATACAATAAAGCACTCGACAGCAGTGTCAAAACAGTTCCATTCTTGTTCGGGATCCACAAAAATTCGTTACTGATTAGTCAAGCAGTTGTTGATTTAACCCTCTTTTCATCGGACGATTGTCTTGGGCATGAGCTCGTTCGAGATTACGTTGCGCAAACATCATCACCACCATTGCGTTTGCCGGCAAACCCTTTCGTGCGTAATCACCATCGACTTCGAAACCTAGGAATTCAACAATTCACTTGGGAAAAATGCTGGCAAATGTTACATTCACCATGGTTTTTAACTCGATTGAATTCTGACCGAGCAATGATNAAAAAATACATCCGATAAAAATGAATTTAAATAAAAACGAACGTGGTGTTGGTTGAAAATGCGATAGCATATTAAGATGAGCTAACGATCGATCAGTACCACTCGTGAAACTAACATATCCATACTTCAGTAATTCACCAATCGAATAAAGCTCATTATAGCGATTTATCATTGCAGGCATGATGTATACTGAAAAGTATTGTATTTACTAAAGAAGGTGCACAGAAAGTATGTTTACTTACGCCACCCTTGTGTACCAGATATAATTGTTTGCCGTGTGCGCGGCTCGACAAATATGGGGATTTGGACTCCAAGACTGAGAAACGGACCATCCAGAGCTTTAAAAATACATTGTTGTACAAGACGTTAGAAAAACGGTTGTAATACATACGGAAGTTTTGACGGTCGTAGCGAGCGATGGGGAAACGCAGCTTTCTAGATTGTAATCGGACACCAACGGGAGATAGTTTATGAATATACATGTATATGTGACCGAGATCTTTTGATACCCTTCTTGTTTTCTGAATAGCAACGAGACGATGACTGAATTCGTAGGTCAATGTCAATGAGATACTTACATAGATGGATCCTGACCGTAATTGAGGAAGCCGATCATTGCCATCAGTCCATATTTCTAGAAAATATGAAAACTATACATATATAATCATATGATATAAATATAATTGAAACTCGATTATGTCATTGCAGACAATCTACTCAACGATATACTTTTAATCAAATAAGTGTGCATGTGAATGCGACATGTTTACTTCTGTTCCTACGACCATCGGATTTATCGAGAATAAAAAATCAAAGGAAGTCATCATCAAGAAGGAACCTAATCCCATAGATAGATCGCTTCATATATTCTTCAAAAATCTTCTACAATTGACTAACTTTCGTTACTATTGTTTCCATCCTTTTCATGTTGCGTGTAATGTACAGTAGACACGGTCACGATACTACCGACAATCACTAATAACATCAGAATGGTATAGAACGTTTTCCGTGTAGTCCAAATGCTCGCACGAGACCTTTGTGGCCTAGAAATAACAATTTTTTAGATGATTCGCGACTATGTAGAGCATTTACATCGATGACAATTGCTGTTTGAGCATTGTGTCTTCGTAGAAGTCTTCGTGTTGTTCATTATCGACCATGATATATTCTGGTTTTAGTTGAGTTCCTTCTGGTGCTTTAACCATCATTGCACTAGTCAATAGATGTTTCTATATTAGATGTAAGATTCATGTTTTTTCAGATCATTTTCTTTCCTGAATAAAACTCTTACCTAATCAGTTGTTCGTAGTCGTTAAACTTTAAAAGTGCATAAGTCATATGTGTCACTCATTGAAAAACAGCCGTTTATATATAGCGAAAATATAAGGACAGTCTATCGTGATAAAGAACAGTAATTTATTTGTTTCGATAAAAAAAACTGTGTGAATGTAGTAATAGAATTTGATGATATTAACAAAGATGAACCGATAAGAAAATAACGGCCCGTGTTTTACAGTTTATGCGAATAGGGAAGATGTAGAATATGGATCTGGTCAGATCAAGAAGAAAAAATACGATAATGGCATAAATGAGTAAAGTGCCACGGACACAATATGCACTAAAATTTCTTTTGATTTATGATTATGGAAGAGCTGATAACGTTCTCAGGGTAAATGATTCAACCATTTTCACTTGAATATCGGTTATAGTTGATTCGAGAAAAACAAAATCTTCGCAATAATATCCATCTCTTTTGTTGATATTCTAAATTGTTGAGGGGTGTTCTTTCGTAAATGCACTTTTCTTGTGTGACCTTTGTCGACAAAAATAATTTATTACTCATACAAGTCATCTAACATCTATTGTGCCATTCAATTTGATTCCAGGTTCCAAATAAAATGTTGTTAAAGTGAATGATAAGTGGCAATGCTTTCCTATTGGTTTGCTTTATTCCAATGATATTCATACCTAATTGTTCTTTGTATGTTTGTACGATAGAATGAAAGAATTTTCTTTAGCTGTTATCTCTTTTTTTTCATGAAGTTAGAACGGTCAGCAGGTATTTTATTACATATAACATCATTGCCATCGAAATATGGTATCGGAGATTTCGGAAGCGATGCGTTTCGATTTGTTGACTTTTTAGCAGAAACCAAACAAAAATTGTGGCAAATTTTACCTTTAACCACGATTAATAGTCCGTCGCCATATTCAAGTAGGATGTCTTTTGCAAAAAAGGAGCTGTTTTGTGTGATCGCACTGTGTTTTAGGTGAATCATCATGTGGTGGAAATTCGTGGTTGATTTCGCCCGAAAAATTGATTGATATGAATGTTTTATCATCTGAAGACTTAGAGTTGCTGACTAATGAAACGAAATTTCCTGACGATTACGTTAATTATAAAGATGTAAAGGAGTTTAAAGAGAAATTGTTAAAGAAGTCATTTGGAAACTTTCAAAAATTGAAGAATCACAAGGAAATTCTCAATAAATTCCATGCAGATCAATCATTTTGGATTGACGACTTTATTTTATTTATGATCATCAAATCACAGGTAAATTCCAGATTTTTCTTTCTTCAGTAAATATCTTGATTTTGATACAGTGCAAAGGACTACCATGGAACGAATGGCCGTCAGCATTACGTCATCATGATCAAGCAGCACTGGACGAACTTCGTCGAACTAATCGAAATGAATATGAATACCATTTGTTTGTTCAGTACATTTTTGATCGACAATGGAAACAATTGAAAAAATACGCAAATGAGAAGAATATACAGATAATCGGTGACATGGCGATGTATGTGGATTATAATTCAGTTGATGTTTGGGCGAATTCGAAGTTATTTAAGCTCGATTCGAATACAATGAGACCAAGTGTTGTTTCAGGTAAAGGATTGTCAAAAGCAGAGGTGTATTTATTTACATCGATTTTTTTATGAAATAGGCTTTCCGGCCGATGAAAACTATGGTATTCAAATATGGAATCAACCGGTTTATCAATGGAATGATGAAAATATTCGACAGGATTTGTTTCAATGGTGGATCAAACGCATTGAAAAATCTCTGTCAATGTATGACATCGTACGGCTCGATCATTTCCGAGGTTTTGTCCAACATTATGTGATCCCAATAGATGCTCAAACATCCAAACCGAACACATCCGATGCGCATTGGGTAAACACGCCGTATGTACTGCTAAAGATCAGATTTTCAAACGGGAAAATTCCAGTGGTTACGACTTATTTTCAGCAGTGAAGAGCTCACTCGGTGAAGACATCTCTTTAGTTGTCGAAGACATCGGTAGTGTAACCAGTGAGGTGTTTCAATTACGTGATGCGATGGAATTCTATGGAATAAGAATTCTGCAAATGGGGTTTTACTGTTATCCTGATAACATTTATTCTCCGCACAATTATCCTCCAAATTCAATTGCATATACAGGCACACATGACAATGCGACGTCATTAGAATGGTGGACGAGTGTTGCAAGACGCGAAGAAAAAGATTTGTTTAACAAATACGTCCATCGTCCATGTTCATCGGAAGTAGATTTAGAGAAATGTATTCCTTGGTATTTCATCCAAATGATCTTACAATCCGCATCGAATGGAGCAATTATATTAATGCAAGATTTACTGAGTGTCAATGTGCGAATGAACTATCCCGGAAAAGGTAAACAGAATGAGATAGAGATAAAAGTATTTCGAATCGATTTTTCAGACTCATCGATGGAGGAAAGTGGGCCGCAGAATTGGTCATGGCGTTTCAAATGGTCACAATTGACATCGAATATTCAAGAAGAATTGAAGGAGTTGACTGAAATGTATGGACGAAATCTTCTGTATGGAAAAGCAATTCCCCCGAAAGATATGATTATGAAAGACGATTCTTCTTTCTTTTTGAGATAAATATTCAACAAATTTTATTTTAACAAATCTTGAATTTTCGAATAAAGCTTCTCATCCCAAAGTTCGTAACCTTCTTCAGTCAAATGTACATTGTCTACTAAATGATACAGTTTGACCTCTTCAGGTGGCTCCAGCCAATGAATACGACCGTTGTCTTGCAATCTGATCGTATCAACAAGCTGTTTTATCGCTTGATTTGATTGAGAAACATATTTTTCTTCTACGTCTTTGCGTGTGAATAGACCAGTAACGAGAATCTTTGTTTGGACAGGCAATAAGACGAATAAAGCTTGTAACAATAAATCATAATTGTTGATTTGTAAACCGTGCAATGGTTTTCGGGATTGAAGACTATTCGTACCGATATGAACGACAACGAGTTTAGGATTTTTCTCTTTTAACATGGTTAACAATCCTAATTTGATACGATAGAGAACATTCTCAATCTTGTCTCCACCGACACCTGCATTGAACAAACGTGGGTAAGACAATAGACCGAGTTGAGTGAATCTTCCGGTATTTTTAAATCTTTCGAACATCGAATCACCGAGAAGAACAATATCAACTTGTTCTGAAAGTTCACCTGCTGCTGTTAATTGTGGCTGATGAGTTTCCATGTGCGTATCATGAGATCGTTGTTTAAAACGAGCTCGTTCATTGATCAAATCTTCAATTTGTGTCACGGAGAGAGGCTCATGTTGAATTGATGATGAAGCCATGTCTACTCTTGATTGTGCACTTCTTTCTATTGAAGTAAAAATGAGGGAGAGAAAAGGCAATGATCGAGCAATAACACGAACGACAATGACGTCATGAAAAAGAACAATGGACAGTCTAATGTGAAACCTAATTTCTCTCGATTGAGTAATATCGTGTCTTGTCGTTCTGTTCTTGATACTGTTCGTATAACTGACGAGAACAAACAACATGTCTACGTTTATTGGTGTAATCTTGTGCTTTACTTGTTTGAAAAATCAGTAAAATTTTACTTCCATGTCAATCTGTTCGAAAGAAATTTTCGTTCTCACCATTTCTATTTGCCGTGTGTCGCGCAGAGTACATCGCTTCGGTATGATAACAGTTAGTGTTTTACGTTTCTAATCTTTCATTTTGAATAGACATTTCATATCTCAGTATCAAAACGTCACAATTGCTCGTGTAAAATCGTAGAAATAAAGAACGAGTGAAGACAACCAACTATGCATTTCTTTGTCAATGTTTTGCTAGTCTATTCGAAGCAACATCTTCCATCGTCTGACAAAATTTTTTCTTTTGTTTTTGTAGTCGACTTGGTATGCGACATACGTTTGTAGACTTTTTACACAAAGTATTGCAACATAAAATAAATTTCTTCTCTTTCTTTGTTCTCATCGACGCACGAGTTGTTTGAGAGATTTTGTTTTCAGTAGTGAATTTTACTGCGTACCATACGCTTTCCTCAGAAATAAGAATGGCCATGTCTCTAAAAACTGTCATCAAAGAAATCTTCAACGCTAATACGAACTTTCAAAATGCTCAACAAGCGATGAACTTCGCACATTCTTTGGATGCTTTGTCGGGAGATTTGTATACTGATCCGATGCGGTTTCTTTTCGAATTGATTCAGAATAGCGATGACGCGTACAAAGATCATCCGACGAAGAATCCGTTACTACGTTTGACTGTGATCGACGAAAGTTATTTAATCGTGGCCAATTATGGTAAAGGCTTCGATAAGAATGACGTTCGAGGTGTGTGTGGTGTTGGATGTGGAACAAAACGAAAAGACCGAGACAAAACAGGTTATAAAGGCCTGGGATTCAAAGCCGTTTTCGGTCAATCGGAATATGTTTTAATTGCCTCTAAAGGTGAATACTTTCGTTTCGAAGCGGGTGCAAAGGAATTTCAATGGAACATCAAGTGGGGAAAAGATCGTGCGAGTTGGGAAGCGACTAGTGGGCAAAAGTTCAAGTTTCCCTGGCAGATATGTCCGATATGGACGGAGAAAACTGAATTACCCATGTCGATTCAACAGTGGTTATTTTCTCAACCGGAAGCAGTCGCGTGCATTATTCGCGTGAGTAATATATCGGAGATAAAAAAATCATTAAGAACGTTGAGCGATCAAGCACACGTGTTTATGTTTCTTCGACGCGTTCGAAATATTCGAATATCGATAGATTCATCCAATGAAATTGTACTCCAGATCAGCCAATTGAAAGATAAGTCGATCAAGATTTGGAATGGAGATGGAAATCTCAGCTCCCATTGGTTGTTACATTCGTGTCTGTTACCTGTTCCCAAAGAAGCGCTGAAAGACAGTCGTCTGCCAGAAAAACTAGAAGGAATCGAAGAAATCGATTTGACTTTGGCAATAAAGATTAATCAGAATGATTGTTTTGTACCTGTGAGAGGTAGTGACAGTATTCTGTTTGCCTACCTTCCTACAAAAATTTCCATGTACAATCTACCAGTTTTAGTCAACGCCCAATTTGATATCAACGCCAGTCGAGAACACATACGAATAGATTCGTCCTGGAATCAGTGGCTATTCTCATGCATTCCTGAACAAATGTTCAAATGGGTCCAAACTCTAACGAAGGAGCAGAAATGGACGGATAAAGCGTACGACTTATTACCCAATCGCTTATCGGTGAAAGATCAACTTGCTGAACAATACAATAAAGCACTCGACAGCAGTGTCAAAACAGTTCCATTCTTGTTCGGAATCCACAAAAATTCTTTACTGATTAGTCAAGCAGTTGTTGATTTAACCCTCTTTTCATCGGACGATTGTCTTGGGCATGAGCTCGTTCGAGATTACGTTGCACAAACATCATCACCGCCATTGCGTTTGCCGGCAAACCCTTTCGTGCGTAATCACCATCGACTTCGAAACCTAGGAATTCAACAATTCACTTGGGAAAAATGCTGGCAAATGTTACATTCACCATGGTTTTTAACTCGATTGAATCCTGACCGAGCAATGATCTTTATCACCTATCTTTATCAACAGCGCGAGTCGACCCAGTTCAAGAAACGTATCTATGAGATTCCGTTTCTTCTCGATCAATACGGCCACCTGCGCAAAATCATGGATGTCTATTTTCCATCTCGTTTCAGTACTCTTGATTGGATGATTGTAGAAGACAGAGAATCTTTCGTGCATTCGAAAATTATGGATTGGCTTGCCGATCAACCCGCAATTAAAACCTGGCTTCGCAAACTCGGTATTCACGAGCGCACTGATATTACTTTCATTGAGGAATTCCTCATTCCACAAGTCGATCGATACATCACACCGGACAACTCCATGGTTACTATTGAACGCTTGTTCAATCTATTTCGAAATGGTTCATTGACGACACGTCATTGTTGTGATTTATGCCGATTAAAAGTATGGACTGTCGATCGCAATCTAGTTCCAGCTTATCAACTGTATTTCTCCAGTTCGTATCTACCGCACTTAGCATTGGATCAATACGATCTTGACCGACGGTTATTTCTCTGTTCATCTTATTTAGAGATCATTGAAGACGCAAGTATTGATCAGTGGAGACATTTCTTTCAATCTCTTGGTGTTCAAGAGACTGTCAGTGTAATACAGTTCACTGATCGTTATCATGACGAACTAGTAGCTGCTTATATCAATATCCAGACATCGCGACTTCCTCCATATGCTCCACTATTCGGATTTAAAAATCATCTCACGATTAAATTACTAGAACAAACTCAGAGGAATTATCAATTCTCGGTCTTTTTCTGGGATTATGTCATGCGTATGCTCAATGTTCGAGTATTACTCGAAAAGGATATTCTTTACAGTCAACGTCAGGTGACTGTCGAAAGTTTGCCACAGTGGTGTGTTCAAACACGGCCGTGTATTCCAACAACAAGTGGTCAATTATTGCCAAGCATCCATATCTTCGCCAATCACCTACGAACCATTGTTGGCCCGCATTTACCTGTGTTTGCTTGTAACCTACCTAACATACTTCCTGAACTCTGGCAGCAATTCTTTCAGTTCAAAATAGAGTTATTCGTTGAAGATTATTTCGATTTACTGGAGCGTATTCATCATTCATCTTCTCCTCTGAACGATGAAGAAGAACAGCGTATTCAGCTGATCTACACGGGACTAATCAATCAAATTCGCCTGAAAAATTACAAAAAGAAGAAATCACTCTTTCTTCTCAGCACACAAAATCAACAGTTTCATGTCTCGAATGAATTAGTGCTTTCCATCGATAAAGATTTGATTTTACCTTCAAGTGTCAAACAATTGAAACTCAATGACGAAAATGTCCGCCATCCGCATCTCGGATTGCTGCTCGACGTCGTCCAAGTACGAGCAGTCACTCGTGCTGATCTTTCCCTATCGAAACAGATTATCTATCATCCCTCTCGGTCATTATCCACCAAATTACGAAACATACAACCGTACCTCTTTGCGTTGGCTGAGCATCACAAAGTGAACGATCACGCGATCGACTGCGATTTAGTCATTTTCGAGGCGGACCGTCTCGAATTGGTTTACAACAATGAAATTTTCATTCATGAAGTGCCTGTGCATCTACAACAGACTCAGTTGTATGTCAAACGGCCTTGGTATGGTGAAGAGACGATAGCAGCACTTCCGCACATTCTATGCAAGCAACTTCGATTACCAGTTCATTTCGAAGCGGAACTAGACCGTATGTTGAAAGAAAGATCGGTCAACGGTGTCGATCGATACTTTCAGGTACAAAATATTCTCATTCAGCCCCACTTTTTCTATCCGGAATTGTTGACCATCGGTGGATCTCGAGAGAAATTTGCTACACAGATCGATCGAGACAATAATAACTTGTTCTATCATTTACCTTCGTCGTTGACAACAACAGAACTATTTCTCGCTGCTCTCGAAGCGCAAGATTCCAAATGGAGTGGATACGTTTATCATTTCACACACTTAGAGAATGCCGTGGCCATTATTCGCGAACGAAAACTGAAAGCACGTGGACACATTACGAATTTCAAAGACTGTGCTGCGTTCAATGTGATCAAAGGAACTCGTTCTCAAGTGAAAAACTTCGCTCGATTCTACTTTCGTCCATTGACACCAACGCAACGCTGTAATGAAAACCTGAGTTCATCTGAATTGATCTCGCGCTTCGGTAACAGACCAATGTGCCCAGTGCCGATCTTTTTCCGATTTAATTTACGTTCTTTATTAGCTATTGAGAACCTGCAATGGAAAGTGAGTCTGGGTAATATGGCCAGTCCACACACGGAGTTCGACTGCACAAGTGAAATCGTCAGAAAATTCGATTTCCACTATGTTTATGCTGACTTACGAACTGAACGGGGCAAATATGCGTCTCAGCAAGAATTTTTGATTGAGACCGAGTTGGATTTTGATCTCCTGAATAACACCGATATCGAGCTTTTCGTTCAAAATGAGAATGCTTATAAGAGCCTAAGCTCTTTCTTCGAGACATGCCGCTACTCGATTGATATCGACTTGCAGTACTTCTTCGACTATAATGGTCGAGTGAATGTGAAATACTCTCAGACTACTCCAACCAAGATTTCTATTTCCATAGATTATCCGAAAAAATCGGCGGATGATACGCTGGGACAGTTATTCCTGCAGATTAAATCGAAAGCTCCAACGAAAACTATTACTGGTAACCTTCTCGGTGTTTTTGAACGCGATGGCATTTACACTATTTTGGGTCGACAACGAATTTCGTTCGTTCCCGAGTCCGAACTTCTTCAATACGCTGTATTCTATCGATATGACACGCAAATATGGCTCGTCTACACGAACTACAACGACCCAATTTTTCGTGTTCCAACGCGAGAAGAATCCGATGATGAACCATTGTGAAATCATCCGAAATTTCTGTCTTACGACTAACTCTATTACTTCATATTCCTATATGCTTAAAATGAATATCTTTAGTTGGTGTGTCGGTATTTCAAACTAGATTACAAATAAAGAAAAAAATCCCTGATAATATTTCGAGATATGCTGATACTCTCACACCCAACTTCGAGAACCGTCTTCGTTGTAGTATCCATCTTCGTCCATTAAGCGTCCATCTTCCGATCGAGTTGGTGCACTCATCATCGACATTATTTTCTTAAATAGATCTCCTTTGGCCATTGAAGATGGCGGAATAGTATTGTCAGTAGAAGGACGATTGTATTTCTGTGTTGATATTGATGATGGACGTTGGTAAGCTGGTCGTGTTTCTGACAGAGCTAAAAGAAGAAGAATAGGAACATCTATATCTATCCCTGCTCTTACATTCACTCTGTACATTATTCTTCTTTATCGGTTTTATATACGATGATACAGAATTGGAATGATCATCATACGTTTGAGCATTATTTATACACGCTATGATCGATTGAATAAGAGAGGAACTAGATGGTCGATTATTCGGCCCATGAGCCCAACACTTTTCGATAATTGTACGAAAACTTGATGGGATGTCCTCTGATATTTTCAAACGTTCACCAGCCAGTACAAATTCACGAACAACGCTATCATTGTAACCGCTGTATGGTATTTGATTTGTGACCAATTCCCAGTAAACAACACCCAAACTGTAAATATCACTCTTGTCTGTGTATGGTTCTAAACGAAGGATCTCAGGAGCAGTCCATTGCAATGTATAGACGAATGAAGTATGACTAGATTTTGTCTGTCGTGATGTTTCATTTCGTGTTAAAGACAAGCCAAAATCGCATACTTTAGTAGTATATCCATCGTGAGCTTTTTCTAATAGAAAATTCAATGATTTGACATCACGATGCAGAATTGCTGGCTGATATTGATGTAAATAATTGATTCCTTTAACTGATTGTAAAGCAATGGACATTCGTTGAGACCATGTCAATGGCAAGCGATCTTCATGTAACACTTTATACAACGATCCTAACGACATATATTCCATAATTAATGCATATTTTCCTTTGTCTATACATGCACCTAGAAAACTGACAATGTATGGACAACGAATACGATTCATCATTGTAAGTTCTTTGATGAAATCTTTCTCAGCTTTCTCATTCAAATGATTTAAACATAATTTTTTAACAGCCACTATAAAGTGTCGACTTAGCCATGTAGCTCGATACACTATGCCAAAGCCTCCAGAACCAATCTCTTCGTGAAGTTGAAGATCATCATCAGATATTTTAGCACAAGTGAGAAGATCATCTAAACATACAAAATATTTCGAAAGTATAACACGATTGAAATCTTACTTTGTTGTGAATTTTCTAAACATATGAGTAATTGCTGAATTTTTCTATAATCTATAGTTGCTTCTTTTTGCCAATATTTAATCAATAATTGCTCGAGTTGATTTCGTTCGCTCAAAATATCTTTTGTCGTTAGTTTCATTGTGTACACTCGTAGGATAGTAATGATTTGCTGATATATATTATAATCATTGGAACGTATGGCAAAACCAGGCTCATGAGATTTGATAAAACAATTACTTTCTGCTTGTTGTATAAAACATTTCAGATTTCTCGATTGTTCCATTAATTGCTCAGTGAACATCGCTATTCGACTTGTATCCAAATATTTCAAATCATCATTATGATAGAATATTTTCATTCCATTTGATCGATTCAATGTCGTTTTCATACTACGTATTAATGATAGGAAATATTCTCTGTTATCATCGAGTTTCTTCAATGGTATTTCTCCGATTATTTTCGGAATTAACACCAGAAATTGGTCATCAGTTTTCCAGACCTTGTGTTCGCGTTTTTCTCCGGCATTAAGATTATCAATTCGAATAACAATACTGTCTATTTCACGTATGAAATTAATACATATAGCATGTTCATTCCATTTTATAGGTAAAGTATATTCTTCTTTACATTTCATCGTCTTTAATTTATTGATGATATTGTTGACTATTGCTGGATACAAAGATTGAATTTGTTCGTGAGAAATACGATGAATATTTAGAAGTAAATGATATG